GCAGAATTTAGAAACATGCCAGCGAGTCTCTTCTTTTCAGGTTTTCATGGACAATTAAAAATGAAATTTGATTACAGAATTCTTTCATGACATGTGGGGCAAAGTTATCTTGTAGAGAATAAGCAAAGAAGATCAAAGTAATAAGGGCCATCAATTGTGGCAGGTCGATCTGCTTAAATGGTGTTTATTCATTTGAACATACTCTTCTCCTATGGCATGGGGAGCATTGAGAAGAATGAGGTTTTTTGGGGTCTGCCTGGTTGATGGTCATGAATTTTCATGCCTCTCTGTGGGGTAGGGAAGAGCACAACTAGCCCAGATGGTCCCATCTTAAATAGATATGAAGCCTGGTCTAGCTTATTTTTTGTACTGGTAAAAGCAGAAAGACTTTTGCTAATAGACTAATAGAGTAATTAGACTTTTGTTTAATAGACTGGGGCAAGGCGGATTTTTTTTCTTTCAATATGATCTACTGTGTCCAGGGTTTCCTATATTCTAGTCTTGTTTGGCCTTCTAATTTGGCCACTTGGCCATATACATTTCAGGGATTCTATTCACAGAAAATATGTTGACTATTCCCATGCAGCATCTATTGTGCTAAATGCCAAGTAATGGACAGAGTTGAGGTTCCAGCATAATGTATTCGTAATTATAATTTCCTTTTTTAAAAAAGACAATAAAAACAATAAACATTGTTTTATAACATTAGAGTAATAAAACATGAATATACTCTCATTCTAAAACCTTCCAAAATATGGATGTCAATGAGAAAACAGACAGTGCCTTCCAACTCTATGACTCTTTGCATAGGCAATCACTCTTCAAGTATGGGGCATATCCCTCATGCCATTTTTCTATGTGTTCATGCTAAAGGCTGCTACCCCAACTGTCTCCTGGGGCCTGGCAGATAACACAAATGAGTGAGGGAGGCTGGATGTAAGGCAGTGGGGCAGGGTAGAGACTGTGGACTGCCCCCCACCCCCAAGTTATGGTCATGAGGGAAGACAGGTCCAGTGTGGTACACACTTCTTATTTTCAAGAGAAGACTGAAATGTTGATTTTGAAGTAAAAGTTCCTAATGTTTAAATGCTGGCAGCTAGGGGCGCCTGGGTGGCTCAGTCGTTAAGCGTCTGCCTTCAGCTCAGGTCATGATCCCAGGGTCCTGGGATCGAGCTCCGCATCGGGCTCCCTGCTCCGCGGGAAGCCTGCTTCTCCCTCTCCCACTCCCCCTGCTTGTGTTCCCTCTCTCGCTGTGTTTCTCTCTGTCAAATAAATAAATAAAATTAAAAAAAAAATGCTGGCAGCTAATGAAAATATTTTACAGTCACCATTCAAGTTAAACCAAACCTATCCACAGGCAGAGTGTCCGGATGACAGCTGATTTGTGCCCTTTGATTTACCTTCTTCCCTGCTATTTGCATGCTATTTGCTTATCTGTACTATTGCATGTACTATTTGCATTATCTTTCTAGGCTAATTACTTTTTTTTTTTTTTTTAGATAGAGAGCACGTGTGGAGGGGGGTAGGCAGAGAAAGAGAGAGAGAGAGAATCTTAAGCAGGCTCCATGCCTAGCATGGAGCCAGATGCGGGGTTCGATCCCACGACCCTGAGATCATGACCTGAGCCGAAATCAAGAGTCGGACACTTAGCTGACTGAACCACCCAGGCGCCCTGGCTAATTACTTTTTTTTAAGACAAGCTACTTTCCTTACTTATTTTGTATTCATTCCATTGGACCCCAGTAGAAAAATAATACGGCTAACTCCAAACCTCAGTTTCTATCTACAAAATGTTCTCAAGATGATCCCAAGATGGAAACTAATGAAAAAGATAAGAATAAAACCCAAATCCAAATAACAGGAATAAGAAAACAATAAGAATAAACAATAGCAACAAAGTCAACCTAGAAAAAAAGTATAATTGAAGCCTTGGTGGTTAAAATCAGCCCCAAAAGATGTCACTAACCATGGCCAATGTTGGGACATTGACAGAGTTGTATTTTTTCGGTTCTTTCTCCACCTCCATGCCCCCATCTGGTCTATCTGATTGACTGACAGCAGGATCCCTCACTGGTCACTCAACTGGCTAGTGGCTGGAACTGATGGACAGGGTTGGGAAGGTACAGTCAATGCTTCTGCTCTGATCTCTGAGGTAAATGGAAGATTGAAAAATTGCATTGCAATAGAAATTGATTTAATTGTCCTTCTGAGATCACTTCACTTTGATATACACAGGGCCAAGGAAAACAGAATCTGTAATTAGCTTTGAGTTTCATCCAGTACATCCAGGAATGACCTTATCTCTAATTACTTAAGCTTGGAAATTGAGCTACAGAGACAAGATTTTTAGATTTTTTTTTAATACAGTTTCCAAGTATGCTCTGAGCCCGCCCTGATGCCCTCCCATGCTTGAACAGTTTGCATCAGGGTGAATGTAAGGAATTGAGTTTGGGGCACATGGAAAGATATTTAGCCCGGAAATACTTCAACGACTCCTAACTTGTCTCCTCTACTCCACTGTTGCTCCTGATTGACCAGAGGGATCCTCTTTGCTGAAAATCCATCATGTCACTCCCCTGGGTAAAATATTCAGTGATTCTATTGCTCTCAGATTAAAGTTTACACTGCAACCTACACTCTCAACCTAACCTAACTTAACCTAACGCTGCATTTTGGGCTCTTTGCTTCTCCATTCTCCACTCTGGGCCTTCCCAAATGTCGGCCCTTCTCTCTGTTTGCCGGTTAACTTATCCCACACATCTCGGTTTAAAGAACATTTTCCCTGGGAAGTCATTCCTGACCCTCTAGCACAGCACTGTCCAATAGAAATATAATGTGAGCCACGTGTGTCATTTTAAATTTCCCAGTAGACATTTACAAAGAATAGGAGAACTGAATTTGATTTCTTAATTTAAGAAATGTATTTCATTGAACTCAACATGTCCAAAATATTTTCTTTTCAACATGAACACAATATAAAAATTATTGAGATACTTTCTTCTTTTTATATATATATATTTGGCAATAAGTCTTTGAGATTTGACGCAGATTTTGCGCCTACAGCACATTTCAGTGAAACCTAGCCACATGTGCCTGGCGCTTCTGTCTTGGACAGTGTGGCTATGGACCCAGTTGATGGTGCTCCTATGTGCGGCTCATCTCTCATCTCCAGCCACAGGCCTTCTGTCTGTCCTTTAGGTGAATCCTGCTCTTTCTCACCTCAGGGTCTTAGCACAGGTTATCACATCTTCCCACCCCTCCTGTATCTGGCTAGCTCTGACATAATTTTCAGGTCTGAGCTTTCTCCAGAAAACCTTCTGTGACTTTCCAAACCCAGGTTAGATGTCTATCCTGTGTCTTCCCACGTTTCTTAAGAATTATCACAGCATTGGGGCGCCTGGGTGGCTCAGTCAGTTAAATGTCTGCCTTTGGCTCGGGTCATGATATCAGGGTCCTGGGATCGAGCCCTACATTGCTCAGTGGGGAGTCTGCTTGTTCCTCTCCCTCTGTCCCTCCCCCTGCTCATGAACATTCTCTCTCTCAAATAAACAAATAAATAAATAAAATCTTTTTAAAAAATAATTACCACAGTGTGTTTCCTGCTGTGTTAGCAATGCCCATTTCCTGGTTTGTACTTCCCTCTGGACTGTGAGCTGGAGGAAGGGACTGTTGGTTTCTCTGACTCACTAGTCCAGTGCCTAATACATACTAGATGCTCAATAAGGTATTGTTTTCCAATTTTCAGGCATCAGAAACAAACTTTTATATTCACTTTTGCTGACTGAGTTAATATTTGGAGTCAAATGCCTCAAATTTTTCAGTTAAACACTCAACATTGACTTGATTTATTTCATAAAACCTGTGGACCCACATTCTGTAGACCACCCGAATACTCAGAGAATACTATTTACAAATAAACAGTACAACCTGAGTCAATAGTGTTGTACTGAGGTCAGTTTTCTGGTTTTGACAGCATACTGTGGTTATTTATAAAATATAATCATTGGGGGAAACTGGGTGAAGGGTACATGGGAACACTACTATTTTTTTTTTTAATTTATTTTTTTTAACACTACTATTTTTGTGACCTCACGTGAGTTTTAAATTATTTCAAAATAAAATGTTATTTTGAAAAAGTATATTCTCAGCTTAAATAATTGTAGGTAATCACGAAATTCCAAAGTGCTTTTGCTTAGTATTATGAAAATGCTATGTCCTAAAGGCAAAACTGTAAAAGGCAAAATGCAGGAGTGGGAGAGGAGGGAAATCAGTAGTTCCCAGACTTTGTGGATTCATGGCACACTTTTGCATATCAGAATTTTGGCAGACCTCTTGTAGTGTTTAGGAGACTAGAAACAACATTTAAACAAATTAAGAATAATTACAATGCAATCATTACCACAGCGGAACAATGTCTTCCAGTGTTTACAAAGCAGTTAGTGGTCACCCTTTCGCATCACTCTGCTACTGGAGTAGAATTGTTTACTGCTTTGACTGTAGTCTCTTAAATACTCAAAAGCTCTTGCCCATTTGACTTCACAGTGTAAACCTGTTCACAGCAGGTTGGACCATGTCTTATGTCTCCCTGCCTGCTCAACTAAACTGTCCATCAGGCAGATACAGCTGCAATGCAATGTATTTTCAATTGTGCACCCATTCAAAAAAAATGTCACATTGAGCAAAATTGGGCTGTGCCCCTGTGCCAGGCTGAGGGTTCAATAGTATGTGACAATTCTGTGGTTGGGAGCCACAGATCCAGGCCAGGTATTCTAGATGGAAATTCTACTTACATTCTTGGCCAATGAAAATTATTTTTAAAGACTGCAATTAAAACCCTATGTTTTTTTGTTCGTTTGTTTGTTTTCTTTTTGCCATTTCATACTCTGCTGAACTTCTTCCTCTTCCTTTAATTCAGTCTACACCATGTATGCCAACGTGAGATTTACGAACTCTTGTGTCATTTTGTGATTCTTCTTTAAATGTATGTTTTCTCATTCTAGTGAGAACCTGTAAGCTCCATGAAGATAGGAGAACCATCTGCCGCCTCTTCTGTGTCACCTGTCCCGTGGCTCCTGAGTGAGTTCAATTCCATTCTATCTGTAGCTTCTAAAAATAACCATTAGATTGATTTATCGAGATGAGATGATTTAAACAAAGACAAGGACACTTTAATCATGCCTATGTCAAAGTTGTGATTGAAAAATTTTGCCAACTGCTGTGCAAAAGACACTGTCAAAAGAATAAAAAGACAAGCCGCAGACTGGGAAAAAAAATATTTGCAAAAGACACATCTGAAAAAGGACTGTTCTCCAAAATGCACAGAGAACTCTTAAAACTCAGCAAGAGGAAAACAGACAGCCCAACTAAAAAATGGGCAGAAGATCTTGAAAGACACCTCACCAAAGAAGATAAACAGATGGCAAAGGAGCATATGAAAATACGTTTCACATTGTATGTCATTAGGGAAATGCAAATTAAAACAACGAGATACCACTACACACCTATTAGAATGGCCAAAATCGGGCGCCTGGGTGGCTCAGTTGGTTGAGCGACTGCCTTCGGCTCAGGTCATGGTCCTGGAGTCCCTGGATCGAGTCCCGCATCGGGCTCCCTGCTCGGTGGGGAGTCTGCTTCTCCCTCTGACCCTCCCCCTTCTCATGTGCTCTCTCTCATTCTCTCTCTCTCAAATAAATAAATAAAAATCTTTAAAAAAAAAAAAAAAAAAAAAGAATGGCCAAAATCCAGAACACCCTCAACACCAAATGATGGTGGGCATGTAGAGCAATAGGAACTCTCATTCATTGCTGCTGGAAAGGCAAAATGGTGCAGCCACTTTGGAAGACAATTTGGTGGTTTTTTTCAAAACTTAAGAAACTCTTAACATACAATCTAGCAATCATGCTTCTTGGTTTTACCCAAAGGAGTTGAAAACTTAGGTTCACACGAAAACCTAAACATGGGTGTTTATAGCAGCATTATTCATAGTTGCCAAAACTTGGAAGCAGCCAAGATGTCTTTCAGTAGGTGAATGGATCAACTGTATGTGGCGCATCCAGACAATGGAATATTTTTCAGTGCTCAAAAGCAATAAGGTATCAGATCATGAAGAGGCATGGAGGGAAGTAAAATGCATGTTTCGTGAAAGAAGCTAATTTGAAAAGGACACCTACTGTATGATTCCAACTATATGACATTCTAGAAAAGATATGGAGACAGTAAAAACTATGGAGACAGAAGAAAGATGAGTGGTTGCCAGGGGTTAGGGAGGAGGGAGGGATGAATAGTCCGAATATAGAGGATTTTTTTTTAGGGCAGTGAAATTACTTGTATGATGCCATGATGGTGGATACATGTCGTTATACATTTGTCCAAACCCTGAATGCACAACACCAAGAGTGAACTGGTGGGAATGTTGTGAATCGGGGAATGCTCTGCCGGTGTGGGGGTGCTGTACCTTGTTCTTAATTTTGCTGTGAATCTAAAACTGCTCCAAAAAAGTCTTAAAATGCAAAACAAAACAAAACAAAAACCCACAAAAAACAAAAACAACCCACCCTATATTCTTCAAAATACCCATTCTATATTTATAATACTCACTCACTCATTTCAATAGCTATCTACAGATCATGTATTATGTGCCCACCGTTGAATAGGCTCTGAGGACACAAAAAATTCAGACTCTGGTGTCCTTGTATGCATGGAGCTTACGCAGGATCCCCCTCCTCAGTGGTTCCCTAACACCAACACATCTCAGTCTTGAAAATGTGAGCTGGTCATACACAAATGTCTCCAGTACATATAGGCTCCTAAAGGGCAACCCACCCCTGCAGATCTTGAGGCAGGGGCATAATAATGCCTGGGACAATAGACGATACCAAATTCAGAATCTTTGGGACACACTCTCCAGCTGGCTTATCCATGCTTCTCATTTTCTTCATTTTGGATATTGCTTCACTTTTCCCCCCGTACATAAATGTAATACATCCATTCCTTCCTGTGAATATATAATGAAATGGTGTTTAGTTTCACATGCTGTTTATTAACCTGCTTTTGAAAAACGTGATGTATTGTGGACCTGTTTCCAAGTCAACAGATACATAGGTTTGCATACACATTGGAGTCAGAAAGCAGAATGTTCAGGCTCTAAAATCCCACTGCCTAGGTTCACATCACAGCTCCAGAATCACTAGTTCTGTTGATCTTGAGGAATTCGCTCACCTTCTTTGCTCCTCTATTTAGTAATTTTCCAAATGACGAATAATAATAATATGACCTACTTCATTTCGTTGCCACAAGAAATAAATGAGAATGACCACAAAGCACAGTTTGAGCACTCAATCATGTTAGTGATCTTGGAATACCAATTGTTCTCAAACTAGTTTAAGGCAGTACAACCCTGTTAAAAAAGTATTTTGTAGAGCCCTAAGTAAAGAACACACACACACACACACACACAGAGTGAAGCTTCTCTGGATGAGGCTAGGATGGGGATCCTGATTCGTTGATGCCTTACCTAGAAAACTTGATGAAAATACAGAGGTCCAGGCCTTATTCTATCTCAGTGAGCCTGGGGCCTCCACGTACTTCATTAGCCCCCCAAGTGATTCTGGTGCACACAGGAAATTGACAACCACAGCTCTGCAGTTCCCTGCAACACTTCCAAAGCCATTGATCCACATCATACTCTTTAATGGCCAAATAAACTTCATAGAACGAATACACACTGATGTATTTAAGCACTCTGCTATTGATGGATATTTAGGTGATTTCTTTCTCTTTTTTTCCCCAATTGCAACAGTTGCTGCAGGACACGTTTGTAGGCACAAATATTCTTCTGTGGGTGTGTGAATGTCTGCAGGATAGATTTTTTTAGAAATGAAATTGCTGGGCCCAGAGTATGCATGCTTTAAATTCTGATAAATATTGCCAAATTGCCCTCTGAAAGGTTATATCAATTTACTCTCCAACCAACGGTGTTGTAGAGGGGTACCCCTCTCCCCACTCTGTCATTTATCTCTTGACTCAGGTTTTAAGACTGTTTATTTTAGGGCATTGATGAAATCCACCTCTGTGATAGATGGGTCCATAAGCACCTAACTGATTACCTTTCAGAAACAAATTCAGCAACCCCATTGATACTTCAGGAATCATTTTCTTATCAGTGACCTCCTCTGCCACACAGCCCAGGTTGCCACTAATACATATGCTCATCTTTGTATCTCTGGCATCTTTAAAAAATATAAGAAATGTTGCTGCTTCTCTTGATTTCAGGCTGAGTTTTCTAATCTTTATGAAAGAGGTTATTATTTATAGTCAAGAAATTCTGAAGTCAAAAAATATAACTCTCCCATTGTTGAGTTCCTGGATGCCTTTCTCCGATCAGAGCCGTATCTCTGAGTAACACATCACGGGAGTGACAGCTCTCTGGTGATTTAGGAGCCTGCCAGATCATTAGAGCATTACCAATGTAAGGATGTATTAGTGTAACACATCATCAGTGTGTTATCGCTCTGTGATGAATTGCTCCAAATCAGAACAATGGCCTCAAGAAACTATGAATTCTTTTAGAGTTAGAAAGGAAATCCTGTTTTTTTTTGAATAAGGAATAAATAAACATGAATGTTCTTCTTTCACAGTGGAAAGAGGTTTAAATCATATATTTTTGATCTTTTGATTATCCCTTGGTTGTTGTCTAGTTTGAGCTAGAGACGAGGTCTTCAGTCTGGATAGGTTGGAGGTTTTCTAGCTATAAAATTAATTACTTGTGCCAAGGGAAGATTAACATTCAGGAAAAAGAGGTCTTCACTTGGATCCTGGTGGCATGTTTCTCTCTAAGTTGGGGGGCATTTGTAAATGGGGGACTTTTTCATTTGTGCATTTGTTTTGAAATAGGAACTCCCTGAGAGCAGAGACCAGTGTTTTAATAACTTGGTCTATCACCGCAGTGCCTGAACCACGTGTGTTGAATTCTTGGTGATGGAAAAGAGAATGTGTTCCTCCAAAGCTGGAAGTCCCCACCCTTGGAGTCATTCCTGCTCATAATGATAGTGTCTTTCGAATAGGCTCCTTAAAAGGGGAATTGTGCCACCCTGAGTGGTGAGAGGTGCTGCATTAACTCCCCACCACCAGTAGGAACAACAAGGACCTATGGGGAAGGAACAGAACGTGGGGACTGTCATCTTAGATTTTCCCTAACCACTGCTTAAAACCTTGGGCTGTGGAATGAGACTGACTTGGCTTTCAACTTGTGCTCAGTCACCTCCTAGTTTGGGCAGTTTGCTTGACATCTCTGAGTTGGTTTCTACATCTGTAAAATGGGGATGCAGCTAATAATGGCTGTACAAGAATGTTCTGGTGGTTAGGTGAGCTGCCTCATGGAAAAGCCTTAGTACAGTGCCTGGCACACAGTGAGTACCTTATAAATGTTACTAATGGTGGTTGTTTTGAAAAGCAAATGTTCAGATTTGCTGCCTGTAAGACGAAAAGCCTTGATGTTTTGCCAGCTCTGGGGGACCTTGGGGGCACACTTGTATTTTTAGGTCTAGAGCATTTACATTCCGTGTTTCCTTATCAAGTGTTTTATTGTCTCTGAATTAAGATACTATGGTACTCACTTCAAAAGATATACTTTCAAACAGGACATTCTAAGAAACTCTGGGTACCTGCAGAGAATTCTCTTATAATCAAGACCCAGACCTGATGAGACCATTTGGAATTGGCCATTGGATTAGCAAGCAGCAGGTGACAGTTAAAAACTTGTATTTGTAGGAAATAACCCCTGGGAGCTTCTGCTGTTGTTAGTGTGAACCAGTGTATTGCATTTGATCCCCTCAATGATGGTATGTGGTAGGCTTGACTGTCCCCACTTAACAGGTGAGGAAAGCCATGGCTCAAAGAGCTCAGTGTACCTGTTCAAGGACACATTGCAAGATACAAGTAGAACCAATGTCCATTCAAATTTTTCTGATACTGGAGCCCAAGATCTTACTACTACACATTTTTGGAAAACACACATTGCACATTCACAGGGTAGTTCTACATGTTTTGAGGTGTGTGGCATTCCTTGAAATAGATACAAGTGGAAAAATACACCAGAAAAATCACCATCAGCATCTCAGTGGACAGCGGAACATTGAGGAGCTCTGGTTACCCCATGGCCTGACAGTCAGCACAGGCTGAGTTCACCTAATCCAGCGAAGCCTTGCAGGAGAGGCGTTCCAAGGCTGGACTTGACTTCCACCCACCCTCTGCAGTCACTTCTCATTGTCCTCAGCCCATGCAGGGATGGCATGCTTGCTGTAGATAAGCGAAGATGGAATGTGAAAACCCTCCTCCCATTCCTGCCCCCTCCCTCCTCATTCTCCCTTCAAAGCAAATTGCAAAGAACAGTTCTGTTCTGATCAGGCATTAAAATGTCATCATAGCACAGAGTTCTGATCAACTTAATCCTGCAGCTTGCTGCCGAAGGCTGCATCAGCATGTCAAACTTTGGGTTATGGGAGAACAATGATCTTCTGTGGCTACCGATTTTTTTTTAAAAGCACATTCAAATGAAATAAACACATCAATGCCGAGACAATATTATAAATTATATCAGTGAACTTTTAATTTCAGTGGGTAGATGGAAAGTAAGTTT